TAATGCGCGGTGCCATTTTTCAGTGTTACTCATATTAACTGTGTTAACTTCAATTCCATTGGCATTATTGCAATTGACTTAAAATTATTCTCACTTCTAAAAGCAATTGAGATAATTTCATTTAAAGTATTATAAATTTTAGCACAATCTTCCAGAAAAACTACACGGTCACCTTTGTCTCTAATTTTTGATATGCTTAGTAAATTACGTTTTATTTCTGGCACATAAATAATATTATTGATTTCAGTTCTGATTAATTTACCAGAGACATTACAGAAGACAGGCACTTTACCTAGTTTTTCAGCTTTTAAAATAAAGCCATCAGCTACCTTAATTTCGAGAGGGGTTTCGAGATAAGAAAGCTCTGAAAAAAGTGATTCATCATTTACAATATGGTCGCTACATCCACTATCTAAAAGGAATTTAACAAATCGATTTGAATCAGAAGATTGGCTTGCAGATAAGAGACTTACGGAACTAGAAGTTGAAGTTACGAAGCAATTCCCACTGTTCAAGGTATTTTCACCGATGGAGAGTATAAGTAATCATAACTAGACGTTGAAGCTGCATTGCTTTGGTTGAAAGTTCTGCTCGGTCTTCTTGCATTGTATCCTCTGCTGTGGTAACTTCCATGCCCTCGATTGAAGTTGCCTGAATCTCTTGAACCACGATTGTTGCTCGGATGTCCTCTTGAAGAAAAGCCACCTTACTGTAGCTTGGACAGACGTTGGCATAATGTCCTGTGCCACCACAGCGATGACAAGAGTTGTTGCTTCGCACCCACGGTCTTCAGCTGAATCCACGACTTCTTCCACGGTTGTAAGAACGGTTACCACTAGAGTTCCCTCGGCTTAGCTTGTGGGCTTGGAGATTTAGGGCTTCAAAGTTATCACTTAGCTTTAGACTGGAATCACTTGATTTCTTTTCGAAAGAGATCATTATCTTCTTCTTCACAAAATCAACTTTGTGCTGAGCAACTGGCAGGGCATCGACAATGTTATGCAAATGAGACATAGACTCAGGAAGGGTTAGCAATAAATAGTTGAGATGGTCTTCATCGCTAACATTTTCACCTGAGTTTTTGAGGTCAATGATGTTTTTCTCAAAACTTTTGAAGAAAGTGGTGGGATTCTCAGGACCAAATTTAGCCTCTAGCAGCTTTCTCTTAATCATCAATTTCATTGAGGTATTGGTGATAGCATATGTGTCATCTAATTTGTTTAGCATTGCTTTAGCACTGTTCTCGTGTCTAACAAGATCAAGAACTGAATTAGATACGGCATTTACCAAGTAGTTTCGGGCTTTAATTTCCATTCTGGCCCAATCTTCCTCTTCCATTTCTTCTGAAAGTTCATTAATGCCGGGGTCCACAGCTTCGTAGCACTCTTTAAGTTTTAGGAGTAGCTCGAGACGGTACCTCCGTCCGTCGTAGTCTTTTCGCCTGCTATCGAATACTGGAATTTTTATATTTAAAATCATCATCAGCCATAATGTAGGTGAGGAAACAAAAAAACGATAGTTTGGACACGAGGCACGAGGTTCACGAGGTCATACGGTCACCGGCAAATTCTCGGACACGAATTTAATAACCACTAGCTACTGCTACCATGTTGAAGTAACACAATAAAAAGACCGGTTTATCGCTGAAAGCCTATGCGGAGGCACTTTTATTCATTTACAATACTTATACAATTTGATTTCTATTAAATAACTTATACAACTTAACTGGTTGCGATCGTGAGCCGATATTATAAGTTGATAAGAGGGGTAGATGACCGATGAGGTTCGGCACACCGATTGATCAATGATCGGCGGGAAATTACAAATTTAACATAAATGCTCCTGTCAAGAGATTACCATTTCGGTTTATGTCTGTCAGTGGACCATAAAAACTCCAGGAAACGAAGAGGTAAATTTTGCAATATTTTATCCTTAAAATGCCTGTATTACGACCAAATACCTATTCCATGGCTATTGCATTTTTGAAAATGAATTTAGGCACTGTGTGGGCAAGTATGTGATTTGACAAATATGGTGAAGCGATATTATTTGAAATTAATCCTCGAAGAAGGCACGCTATTTCATTACATGCACAGATATTTTTTTGCAATTCCTCATACTTAACAAAGTCTGATTGTTATAGTTATGACAGATATCCATCGGTCATAAGAAAATTACCTACTGACCATTTGACAACATTCTATCATGTCACACGAACAAATTCAATAGGAAAAAGAAAGTGACAAACCCATTTAATGACACCAGAAACTACTCATTTCAGTGAGGACTGTCAAGTACTCTGTCCCCATTTTTCAACTCAGTTCCCTCATAGATTATTACTTTTAGGGACGACTGAGTTGAGAATTCTGCTGTTTTGATGGAAGAAAAAATTTGAGGTAATGTTTAGTGCCAAAACAAAACGTGCTCCTTGATTAGGACCAAGTATCACATTAAATGTGTAAATATAGTTGAAGTTGGTTGAAGTTTACCTTATAATAATGCAGGGACAGAGGTGAGCTAGTTTTGGATGATTTTAACGTTCACACTTTTAATACCTAAACATGTTCTTGTCAGTTATCACAGCGGTTGCACCTATTAGGTGAAGTAAGAGGACCTCACTGAATAACAACAACCACTTGTTTTTTACAAACAGCGCCTCTGGTGGCTCCCATATGAAGCACATAGTTGGGGGACTGAGTTGAGATGAAAACCTTGTGATGCGCCCTCTGCCTCATCTCACGATGGGAATATTGTTATCATTCCTAAAACAGAATAAAGAAATAAAAAGTAGAAGGTCCACACATTCTAATTCTGTCAAGTGTAAGTAGGTTTGCATTGGTTTCCAGCACCCTACAACCGTTTGAATTGCAGAACCTCAGTTGTGTGACAGGGACTGAGTTGAGATTTTCTGCCCTCCTCTGCCTGCCAAGAAACGGAGGCTTAGTTCCATGATGTTTTCCGAGTATGCGTCTGATGCAGAAAGTTATTCTGCATAAAAAATAATTTACCTGGACTCTGTTGATAGATATGTGTGCCAGAAAATTTTGTGTGACAGTAATAGTAGAAATAGCAGAGAATTACCCTACCCCACAGCCTACTGACTTCAATTAGTGCATAAGAAGATCACATCTCAGCCGAACTAATGACTTTAACGCTAAAATAGTAAACGGCACCAAACTGACATTAATGGTAGTTCCTCTGACTTCAAAATCTCATTGCTATCCATAATTGTAAAAACATTGTGATGCACAACATTGTGCTCTATGACATGGAGCTTCAAGATAATAGAAAAGTACTCTTTAGCTTGATATGGCCAAATCACTTTTCAATCTCTTTCCAAACCCATTTCCTCCCATTAGCCGAAATCCACCCATGCCATATTTAATAAAAAGTGGACAACAGTGAAAGCTACTCGACTTGTTGTCTACATCGGCTGTCCCTAAAGAACCCGGACTGATTCTGTAACTTCTAAACTACGATAGATGCAGACATGATCTTGGTTTCATTTTAAGGATCAACTCAATACCTATTGATTAAGACCAAGATCAGCTCAATCGAACAAAAATGACCGAGTTATGATAATTTAAAATCAGTGAGTAAAGTTTACCCCTAAGGTTTTTAAGGAAGACTTTTCGCTTACCAGGATTCAAAAAGTTAATTTTCGTTTCCGCTGTCCTCCGAATCTTCCATGACTTCCTTCCGCTTTTCAAAGTACCGTCCATTAAACCGGATGCACTTACTCATGAGCTCTTGCCACTTCTCTAATATCGTTTTCCTGAATTCTTCCCATGAGATGGAGTTGAAAAAGTTCTGAACTGCCTTCTGGATTTCGGTCCTCTATTCGAATCTTTGTCCGCGAGGCTCCTTAATAGTGGGAAACATCCAAAAATCACAAGGAGCCAAGTCAGGGCTCTAAGGAGGATGAAGGATTGTTTTAACCTCATTTTTACTCATAAACTCACCTTAGAATTCGAGCTATGAGGCCGCGCGTTGTCTTGATGGAGCATCCACGAAGCTTTCAAGCGCGGTATTCCACCCGTTCGGGGTGCGCTCGGTCGGTCGGGGATTTCTGCCCTTTGGACTCTTGGCCCAAAGGCGGACGACGACAACTGGCGACAGCCGACCACCACGGGGCAATGTTGCTCTAGAATTACTGTGAGGTTGTTCTAGAATTACATGGAAGTTTTTGGGTGAAAACACAATGCCAGATCATACTTTTAGATATCAATCTCGTCAATGAAGAATCTTCCTTAAAAACCGTAGGGGTAAAGTTTACTCAATAATTTCAAATTGCCATAACTCGGTCAATTTTTATCCAATTGCGCTGATCTTGGTCTTAATCGATAGATATTGAGTTGATCTTAAAAATGAAACCAAGATCATGTCTGCATCTATCATAGTTTAGAAGTTACAGAATCAGTCCGGGTACTTTTGGGACAGCCTATGTATAATTCTGAGACAAGCTTTTTGTGCCTTCAGTATTTTATCCACCCCTGTGGAGTTGCTCAGAGATAGATTCCATACTGATGATTCATCGAGTGGATACTTGGATAGTTATATCTCACCATTACATTTGAGTTCACCTCTCTCTTCATTTTTCTAAGTAGCCAGATTCGTGACAGATTTTCTTGCTAGTCTTCGACATGTGATTTAACCATTTTAATTGATTATTGTCAAAATACCCTTGATATCTAGCTGTTTTTTCAAACTCACAATGTTATCCTTGAACAGTAAAGTTTCTGATTCAATGCCATGAGGGGTTGCAATCAAAGTTTTTTATGCAAGCTACAAATACATTAGTGTCCCCCAAAATCTGAGATCCAAAATTAATTCATACCATAGAGGGTTAAAAATCAACCAGTAGCTACATCTTTCCACATGAACTTCAGCCAGTTGGGTCTTTGACTGTGATTCCTGCGCTTTGAGAATGGGGCTCAATCATCATTACCTTAGTAACAAAAATTTTCCAAATTTATTTGTTTTCTCTCTCTTTTTTCCAGTTCTGTTTTGGTTTCTGCAAGTAATCAAGTCTATCAAAGTGTAGCTATTCTCATTAAATTATGTGATGATGTTTTATTAATTGGCCATGATGCAATAAATGCAGAAAATGTATCAGAAGTTTTAGACTTAGTTGAAGATGCCATTCAGGTGAGATATGATCGATTTTCTTCTCCATTTTTTAATCTAGGTGATGTATTAAACTTGCAATTTTAATTCTATTTCAGAGAATGCCTCATAAGGTACAAAAATATCAAGCTGAAATTAAATTTTTTTAAGCGAATTTAGGGTGTCTACTGTGCGGAAAAATTACAGATACACTGAAATAGCACGGATTTTGAAAGGTGCGTATGGAAGTACAAAAAATGTTCAGATTCACCGTAATAAGGTATGAAGAACCCCGCACGATCTTTACGGGAAATCCCCGCCTTTCAAATCTGATGAAACTATGATATGTTGCCTAGTTAGTCATTCTGATCAAAAGCTCTCCTGGGCCGAAAGAGATCCCATTTGCGGTTTTTTCGAGATATTCACCGTTTTGTATGCGTGACCGGAGGTCCCACCGTGCCGGCCAGACCTTTGTGCTGCGCTACTCGTGCCCTTCCCCTCCAGTCCACTCTGGCCCCTCTCCGCTTCCCCACCATCCGTACCCGAGGCTCTGACTCCGACTCTCACGAGACTTTGCTCACCATCATCGGGCCGCACCGCACGCCGTCTTATCACGCGCGGCCTGGTGATGATGGGTACAGCCTTGTGAGCTTCGGACTCAAAGCTCTGGGCACGAGTGGCGCGCAAGTGGAGAAGAGCTGAAGGGGACTGGAAATAAAGGGCACGAGTTGCGCTGCATAAAGGTCCGACCGGCAGGACCTCCGCTCTTGCACATAAAACGGTGAAAATTTCGAAAACCGCACATGGGATCTCTTTCGCCCCATGAGAGCTTTTTATCCGAAAATTTATTTGAGCTTTTCATCGAATGACTAGCTGATCCTCGTATCCAAGTTTCATCAGATTTGACCGGGGGTTTTTGCTTAAGGATCGTGCGGGGTCCTTAACGAAGGTTTTGCTATGAAGTGCAAAAAATAGCCTTTAGGGTATGCAATTTCACAAAAGAGTCTTTTTTATTGAACTCCCGCGGTATGATTACTCTTGTTTCCGTTCCTGTCACACCAGTCCATTTCTTTATCATTCCTACATTTCACTCTCCAAATCCATATTCCTGAGAATTCCTTTTTTGCTACCCAAAGGTAAAGGTTTTTTTTCGTCAATAAAACCAAAAAAAGAATTCTCTAGAAAGCTAAGTAAAAGCCAGTGAAAGGTCCTGAAAAAGCAAGACATTTCAATGGATGAGGTAGGTACCAGTGGACACCCTAGTGTCAAAGTTTTGAAGGAATTATCATTAAGTTCTTTCCTTTACCATTCAGGCATCTCATACAGGGTGATTAAAAAGTCTCAGGACGAATTAATGTATGACTTTTGAACTGACGTATTTGGGGGTCCGAAACACTGCTTATAATTAGTTTGAAGTGATTCTTGTGATTTTTACTTGTAATTACTTACAATTTGGCCAATTTTCTTGTTCCATTTGTTTTAATGATTTTGAAGGGGAGTCATGATTTCTTGAATATAGGTCAAATTTGACTTTTGACGTAATACAACTTGGTCAAAAGTTAGGATATTGATCTGCGGTTTGCGCCCAAATTCTTAGTTTTTCATGTTCTTTCCAATGAAGTATCACAAGGTTCAGGTTACCGTTTCAAAAAAAAAAAGTTGAGTGCTCCCAACCTTCTTGAAGTAGGAGTCAAATTTTGACAGCTCCCCCCCCCCCCCCCTCCAGGAAGATGGTCCCCTCTGAGAAGGAAACATCCCCGAAGTTTTGTTTTCTCATCTCAAAATATTAAAAAGTTAGAAGGTGGGAGCGGGACTTTTAGAACAGCCTGCATAACGGTTTAGGCGGACTGTGCACCAACATTCAGGGTGACCTTAAAGTTTCAGGACACCCGTGTAACTTTAAAAAAGAATTGAGATCTAGACTTGAAATCTGATGGTGCTCCTAGGTCAGGAGAGACTGAAAAAGGATCTCGGAAAATTTCTAGAACCGCTTAGAATAGAAAACTCGTCGCTAAAATACTAAAGCTCATCTTCGGAGGAAAATCAACTTTTCCGGGAAAATGGTGGTTGACAGGAAATATCTGAGATTACATTTGGATTCAGCGGTCCAAAATACAGAAGAATCGATGTATCACACATCGAGGACATTTTTAAAATGTCTCCTTAATACACTCTCAGCTTGGGAAAGCTTTTACACAAAAGGCACGGAAAATCTGCCCTACAGAAACACTGGAAAGTGATGAAAATAAACCGAGGTCGTACTCGGATTCGACCGCTTAAAATACGTAGGACTAGGAATTACTTTACCATGGGTCCAGGAAAATGTTTAAAAATAATTGCATGCATGACAAATATCCGTTAAATATGCTCATTTTCCTCGGAAAAAGTCGTTTTTCTGGAAAACTGAGATGTGAAAAGGAAATGCAAACGCCATATTCGAACTCAGCGGCTCAAAATAAAGTGGAAAAGTCCTTTCTTTTATCAAATGGATCAGTTCTAGGGGGTAAGACCAAAAACATTTGCAAAATAAATTTTGCCGTGTATAATTGGGCCAACCTAAGCGTGATGGAAAAATTGAGGTAATGTTCAGGAGGATCCTCTTATCTCGTCCCAGAGACATTTTTGTCACTTTTTTACTTTCTCGCTCCCCTAGGGTAGAGAGGAAGTATTGTCATCCTCCAAGAAAGAAATAAAAAAAAAGTTGAAATTTCATCATTTCTAGACGTTTTAAAGTCCCAGGAGTCAAAATAACCATACTTGAAAAAAAGTGTGTCCGTCCGTGCGACGTCCCCCAAATCTGTCTACAGCGACATCTCAGAGTCTATCTGTTCGATTTCATTCAAAATTGGCACAGAACACCTTATCTATGGTCTCCTTATGCACGTCAAACGATTTTGGGGTACGCTAAAATTTGGGGGGGCTACGCTAAATTGTCCATTTTTAGCAAAATCACGCAAAACTCATTCTAATCGCTGCCTCGATATACGACCCCGCGCCGCCCTATGGTCCCAATAGCTCGATGTAAGCGGCATTAAATCAGATATGTATGTTTAAACATCGCAATATGAGTTTTCAGGGGTTTTTAGGGTCGCTGAGTGCAAAAATGCTAATATTTTTCAGGAAAAATCCATTTTTATACTCTATGTAACAGTGGTAATATTTGGTTAGAAACCTTAAATTGAGACAGGCGGACTATACTAAGGTAACGCGGTGGTGCAGTGGACATCGTGTCTCATCCATCTTCTTGATGTCCCGGGTTCGATTCTCGGGAGAATTTTTACTTTCTCGCTCCCCTAGGGTAGAGAGGAAGTATTGTCATCCTCCAAGAAAAGAAAAAAAAAGTTGAAATTTCATCATTTCTGGACGTTTTAAGTCAAAATAACCATACTTGAAAAAATGTGTGTCCGTCCGTCAGCTGTCCCCCAAATCTGTGTACAGCGATATCTCAGAATCTATCTGTTCGATTTCATTCAAAATTGGCACAGAACACCATATCTATGGCCTCCTTTTGCACGTCCAACGATTTAGGGGTACGCTAAAATTTGGGGGGGGGGCTATGGTCAAATTGGGTTAAAGGTCCATTTTCAGCAAAATCATACGGAAAGCTCATTTTGAGGGACTGTAAATTTTGAAAAATGCCTTTAATTTTTTAAAAGTGGGCATCACGCACATCACCTGGGTCATTAATTTAAGTTCCTAAAAGATCTTTGGACTAAACTCAAAATTCAAGGGATTAGCAGGCCCAAAAGTAGGGCACTTTGCTCCGCGACATCACACAAACAGATCATTTTCAAGGACTGTAAATTTAAAAAAAAAAATGCCTTTCATTCTTCGAAAGTTGGCATAAGAGCACCACCTGGTTCATTGATTTAAGTTCCTACGAGGTCTTTGGACTAAACTAAAAATTGAAGGGTTACGCGTCATTTAGTGAGGGCACTGCGAAATCACACAGAATATACGGACTAAAATTTTGAAAAATGCCTTTAATTCTTTGTAAGTTGGCCTAAAAGCACCACCTGAGTCATTAATCTAAGTTTCCAAAGGATCTTTGGACTAATCTCATAATTGTAGAGGGGCCGATAAGAAATGCTCAATTCTCCAATAAGGGTCATTCCACGTCAACTGTACCAGGCTCGGAACCCGACCCCCTCCGATTTGACTGAAAATTGGTATACGGGGTCTTTACATCATAATAAGAAACTAATTTGAAGGGTTTTCCCATCTGACGCCCCGTTCGCGAGATATCGACCCCCAAAGATGGGGTGAATTCTAGCGATATTAAAACGCCCGTTTTAGCGATTCTCATTTTCTCGACTTCCCTCTCTTTGACTCTCCATAGCGAGACTCTGTATCAATCCATCATACTTTGAAAGAGTATTACTAGACCAGTTTTTCATGTAGATTCTGGATATGCCATCGAAATTTAGCTAAAAATTATTCTAATGGCCGTAATTTAGGGTTTTTTAAAATTTACGATTTTTTCGCCATTCAATGTTCAAACTGAGAACTCGAAAAAACTGTCTCTCAGATTTTCGATTTTTTTTTTTT